CACCAGGTATTCCGGCTACAGTTATTTATGTGTGTATTTCTAATGCGCAACTCGTCCTTCTTGATTTAATCACCCCGATTCACGTACTGCTTGGTAACGAGTACAAATTATGAACCTGCTCATGTAGTGTTTACTGCTTCTTTGTACTTCCTCTTTTTTAAGTCCAAAGATTGTTCCCAGACATCTCAATCGATATGAGATTTGAGGTTTTCACGGATGCGAGAGTTGACGTTGTGGTCTTGTGGCACCATATAGACTTGTAGGTGGTTGGCAACGGTTCGGATGAAACCTCTGCCTCCAGCTTCAGGGTCTATATTCCTTCTCTTCTTGCCCCGATCATCAGTACTTCCTACCCTTCCACACCCAAGTATTTCTCACTACTACTACCCAAAAGTTTGAGGTAGCTGATTCCGCCGAAAGATTTGTAACCACGGTGTCCTAAAACAATTTTTGCTAAGCCCGCAGTTTATGTTATTCCATTTAGAGGCGGGGAGGAGGTGAGAAACCAAGTTTCATGTCCATACAAAATAACATGTTAAATTATATTTTTATTTTACGTTTTTAGATAGAAGACAAAATATATTGAACTGAATTAATAACTTCCCTAACTTAATCTACTCTTAATTTCTTTTCATTTGTTGTTCCCAAATAATTTGTACGAAGTTTGCCTCATTGTCGGAGGATTAATTAGCCGCGGTATCGTTATGCTTTATTTTTGTCTTGGATTTAGTTTTATTTTAATCATTGTTATTATTGTTATTGAGTAACAATATGATCGACTTCATCAACATGATGTTCAAATTATGTCGATGATAATTAACTGATTAGCCCTGGGGCACACAAACACATGTAGTTACGAATACTGTTTCTTCGGAAACTTGTAGACAGTCAGAGGTTTCTGTCAATATTAATCTGTAAAAGACGATTGTCGGTGGCCGCAATGAAATCGCAACGATTTAATTTTAATTGAATGAATAATAATAATAATTATTATAATAATGTGTTATTGTTTTTGTCTTAGTTAGTTAGTGTAAGTATGAACTTCACTGTTAAGTATTTAATTTAAAATACAAATGCATTATTATTGTTCCTATATTTTAGCGAAAATTTTAATATGTGTTGCTGCTTGATTTACGAAACTCTAAACGGATAAAAGCGTTAATGCAGTGCGCCATACATAGATTCAGCAGTGATTTTGGTTTGTGTGTCTGGTAGAAACATGCTGTTTCCATTACTGCCGGTAGATTTTAATGACGCTTCCTGCCTGGTCCAGTCCGCGACAAAACCGGTATCCGTTTTTGGTCGAGACACGAATTAGGCCATGTTACGAATGTCATCTGTTTGGCGCTGTGGAGTATTTTACTAACAGCCTGTATGTCGTTTGTATACTGAAATAACGGAGGTAAACAGGGGTAGAGAGTATATGATGGTTTTATGGACCATTCTCTGAATAGAACAGGAGAGGTCACTTTCCCTTGGTTTTGTGTATACACGAGAAAGCTCTTCAGACATTAAGAGCAACGCTGTCATCATGTTCCTAATAAAGGATTTTAACATCGTGAAGCCTTTAGAAGGAAACCGCAAGAGTTGCTAAATACACTGTAGTAAAAGAACCCAAATATCCAACACCGCTAATGACGAAGCCCACCATTATATGTTTTATGTTTTAACGGCGATGTGAATACTGATGATCTGAGATGTCGCATCGTGTAGTAATTTGGCTGTGTACCAACGTTCTAGCAGAACATACTACGTCCATAATTAGGGTTGAAATGGGGGGATGTTGGGAAGTAGATGGTTTAGGCCACGGTGATTGGCCAGTCATGGCTCTGTTCTTCTCTTGAAACAAGAGACTGTGTTTTACAAAACAGCAAGAAAAATAAGATAGGATAACATTCCGTTTAGGTCAATTGCACCACAGGACACGGGAGGTTGAATGGTAGCAAGCTTTCCTCTTATTGAATCTGCTTTTAACACTTTACGAGCTCAGTTTTGATTTGTGTAGTTCACCAATGTTTCAAATTCGCCAATTTTTTCGAAGGACGTAATACCTGTCCGGCATTATAATGACGAGACATGAGCCAACTACTGATATTGCCTCTGTCAAATTCTAGACGAACCCCCGTATTAGCGTTTATGTAGGCACCTGTGTTTACGTGTTCTTCTCCATGACATGCGTTTCGCCTAATAAATTAAAATCGTCAGCATAGACAGCCGATATGTTTAATATATTTTCCAGTCTCTTCTGATTTTATCGGACCTTCCTGACGGCATGTTCCAAAGCGAGTGTGGCCAGAGTAGTTAATTCGCGCCCTGACTGTGATTAGTACCTTGATCATGGCCTTGAGAAGGTTGTATCTCTGGAACACGTTCCGCACTGACTTGCTGTCAGCGTATTTGGTCATCAGGGTTACCAGCGACCGCTTTGCAGTCTCGTAGCTCTCCTCCAGACGTACGCGTACTGCTCTCAGCCGTTCATTTGTTTCGATTACCTCTTCTTTCGATTGCCCGCCTGCAACGGAGAAACTCGTGTTAGGACAGAAATCAGTGGTGAACAACTTTTATATGTGGGTCGATTAGAAAAGCTCAGAATCTGATAGTGATGCAAGCCAATCGATGGTAACATTAGCATTTAATTCAACAAACATGTATGATATGTTTTCAATGAATAAATAAATCATTACCGTTATTATAATTTGTTAAGGATTAGGCTTTCGTCTTTTCCTACTTCTCCAGTACTTACTTGAAGTTCCTTCGTCCTTGACATCCTGAACTATTCGACGAACACTTTGCGTGAATTTCCCCACTAGATTCGTCCCTGCTGCAACACAAGACAAAATAGAAGAGGTTAATGTGAATGCCCCTTTTCTTGACGACATCGAATTCGTTGGAAAGCCACCGAAAGTCGCGGTCGAATTGTTATCACCCCTGTTTCGTATTCGGGAAGTCCCGGGTCAAATCTCAGCCTGGAGACCGACTATCATGACACGGTCAGTTCCTCTAGACAATTTAAGGTGTACGGATGTTTATTTTTATGCAAGAAACGTATTTATCACTTTTGTGTTGTTTATGAAAACAGTTCATCCATCTTAGGAATACCTCATGGCTATATCACGTCGAATTTTGGGTTCTGGTCCACCAGCTGTGTATCTAAACAGAAAGGAGACAGACCTGTGATATGTTTGTACATCCTTAATTTTATTTGTCTTCATTCGTAACGCCGGAAATTTCCTGCAACAGTGTAGCCAACACTGAGTTTGGGAGTGTGTAGAGCCAACGCTCTAAATAATCACGATGCATAGCTCGCGGGACAAACATGTGAATGGACAGAATGCTTTGAAGTCCTATTATTTTTAAACAGAAGTGCATAATATGAGGTCATCTGAAATGTCATGAGGTTGTAAGCTCAGATAACAGTAAGGATATTTCATTGCCAGTAACTTTATTTGTTGTGCATTAGCGCATTCGTAGAAACTTTGGAAGCTCGTCTTTGCCCATCCATATATATGAAACGGCGAGGCTTTTACTTGACGGATTTTTATGAAATTAAGTACAGGCAGTGCACTTATGTAGAAAATTTTATTCACAAGTACATCACCCTGATGATGGAGGCAGCAAGGACCTCTGAAATGCTGGTAACCTTATACCAGACAACATGGCGGGGCAACCCAGAAGATGGCCATCATCGATGCAGAGCGTGTTTGCTAGAAATGGCTAATGCTGGTTTTCTAAAGAGTACAGGAGGATTAGGACTTAGAAGCAAAGAACCCTTATACCAGACAACATGGCGGGGCAACCCAGAAGATGGCCATCATCGATGCAGAGCGTGTTTGCTAGAAATGGCTAATGCTGGTTTTCTAAAGAGTACAGGAGGATTAGGACTTAGAAGCAAAGAACAAAGAAACTGCTTTAATACGTTTAAGCTACAGACATTTACATAGCTTCGGTGTGTATTGAACGAATAGTACTTCGGCAAGGCATTGTTTGGGTATATTATGTATTTCCACTTGCTTTACGTAAGAGAAAATCTCTCATCTCATATTGCCATAAAACTAAAAGGGCTTGTTTCAAAACGTGGTTTCTTTTTTTACTGGCTGTGCGATTAACTTGTGGTCTGTACTATACCTGGTTGAAATGCATTAGCCTACAACACGGTGCATTGTGTTTGCTAAGTGAGCAACGGCGTGTTCTTAACGTCGATCAGGCTATAAATACAAACGCATTGCAGTCCGTCATAAAAATTGGATTGGAATTGCTGATGTCAACAATTTTCTTAAATTCATTACTTTATAATTTTCGTCTTTTTGATTCTCTGTACAAGAGTGTCAGTACTGATTGATTTTATAAAATAGAGGAACGCTAAACAACAACTTATTTAGATGTTGTAATTAAAAGGAAATGCCCACGTTATTACAATTTTTACATTTACGAATTCCCCTTTGTTAAACTCCCCCTCTTGCTTTATTTTGAGTAAAGATTCTTACCTTCTACATGAAAAGCATAGCCTATTCCTATATAGTTCAGTGAAATACGTGTTCTGGTCGTAAATGTTTTCTCAGGAAAATAAATTCTAGGATGCGCCTAAGGTTATTATTACTCTAGGCTACTCTCATGAAAGTCAGTCTCGCGTCCTCAATTCCCGCGTATCTGTGGCGTCCGCTCCTTCAGCAGAATAAATAACCTACTTTACGCAAGACAGAATGGAAAAATGGTTACGTACAGCTATGAAAATATTTTCCCAACATTTTCTCCCTCATTTTCTTTCTGCATAATTCTTATGCCGAACTTCATACAACATTCATTGGTAGCCTCTTATGAATATCCTGTTTCAATGAATATTTAATAATTTTCGTGACGTGTCTGTGGTACGAAAAACATTCACAGAATTCGTTCTCTCGGCTCATACTTTCGTATCTGTCTGTCAAATGAGTTTCATACTGTTGCTGCCTCTAACGATGATAATAATATAACACGATGAGAAACTGATACTTGCTTAGCTGATCAAAAGGCTCCCAGTCCTTTACAGAGCGACAATGTTAACATCGTGCTTACGAGAGCCAATTACTGGACTCTTGAGTTGTTTGAATCCACTCCACACCCCATTTATTTACTACCAGTTTTAATAATATCGCCCCTAAGTCTCCCAAGTTTGTCTCTTCCTTGAATTCCTCATATCCTTCGGTAGCTGGCTACAAATCCAGCTTATCTCTACTCCTTGATTTTATCACGCAAATCATATCTGGTGAATACTAATAGAATTATAAATATTCCTTCAAAGAACCTATTTTTATCGTTTACTTCAGAAATATGTAACCGTGAAAAATGTCTGGTCTGTTTTCGAAAAACGTTTTCCTAAGTGTGACTGTGTACTTTTTGTCCACAAGAAACTTACATCTTGGTTGAATGATGTGTAAAGTAGGCCTGATAGTGAGTGGTATACAGTAGTTAATATTATTTCTTACAGATTAATGATGCTTTGATTTTGGTACACAATTTCTCCTGACATTGAGACACGAACAGGTTACAGAACAAAACTAAAATTCTTTATTACTTTTACCCTTTAAAGATCAATGGTAACTATATGTACCACCTTCTTTAACAATCAGTAACTCTGTATTTTGCATTTATTGGTTTCGTATAATTCTCATTGTAAACAGGGATTATTTTCTTAAACAGTATTAACACGTTTGTCTTTTTCATGAAGACTGTTTTTTTTTTTTTTTTTACGACGTGAATTATTCATTATTATTTGGAAGATCTTCGACTTCAAAAGCTTAAATGACGTGTTCGAACACACACAGCAACTTGAATTTGATCTCGGCTCAAGGTGACTTAGTCAGATGTTGCATGAAAGATGCCAGTAGATGTGGCTGGGTGACGCGGGTGGCGAATTTGTCTCGCTGCTCTTGTGAGTGGCACACAGCTTCCCCGAAGATCACCCAGGCGATGCCAGCTCTGGGCTCCGCCCTCTCGCACCGCCATCGCCAGGCGGATTATCGTCGCAAGTTTGCCTCAAATACTATCTTACCCAAAAACATACACAATCAGAAATATTTAGCCCGAACGAAAGAGTAAAAAATAGAGCCGTAAACAGTCATATTTTTATAACGTCATGTCGGATTTACTATATATGTATATCTTCAAAGGCAGAAATAGGAACAGTTGCAACCGTAAGTTCTGTAGCTTATATATTCTTCTTTGTGGTCTGGCCCTCTGAAACGCTTGGCACAATATGACGTATTCGAAAGATTTTTGCCCCAGATGTAAGGTATATGAACAGGAGCGCAACAAGTGAATGATCGGCCCCATTGAAAACACGTTAGACTTCTTTACGTCATATATACCTATTACAGGTATACTCGTTTATAAAAGCCTGGTGCTTCTTTTGAAATATTGTTTTCTCTATAATTACAGGTCACCGCCCGCCCTTCGTCGTTTGACTTGTGATTAACTTCCCAACCCTACGATTTGCAGCAAAATAGGTAAGTAGTTCATTTCAAACAAAATTAATAATAACATTTTAATGGAACCCAAATTATCTTAATTTTTTCTTTATAAATTCCGGTCTTCTCTTTAATCCACTCTTTTGGTCTATGAAATCGTGATTATTCTTATTTTAATGAGAAAGGATATTTCGATTCGTATAGCGACTAGCCACATGTTAGATGGTCGATTTTCGGTTCCTGGAAAGAGAGCGTTTTCTTCACGACACATCCAAAACTTGTTGTCCAGTGAGCTCTCGGAGTTCTTTCATCGGGGGTTAAGTGGTCAGAGCGTGAAGCTGACCTTTTATATCTAGTGCCAAGATGAATACGCGGAGCTTTATCTCATGTTTTCCATACGCCTTAATGTCTTTATGCTTAAGTAATCTTATGTAACAGAAGAACGTAACACCTCGTTAACGAGTTGAAATACAGCGATGAATATGTCGACAAGAAAAGTTGTGACGCCGTGCAATCTTGTAGGTGAAGGAATGTATATTAATTGGTCTGAACTGTTTTCAAGGTAACTGCCATCAAATACTAAAGCAGACCTAACGAAATATTAGTCTAAATGCACTTAAATGAGAAACTTTTTGCACTTTGTAAACGTCGTTGAGAAATAAGGCAATATAATACATTTTCGACTGGAAATTTCAAATGACAAAGACTGACAACACTGTTGTTCCTTCAGGCTGCAGAAATTCTAATGGCATCCATGCAAGTCAGGCACTTATAAAGATGGTAAAGTGCGTTGCTGTGAAGCTAGAGACATTTACTCCTGTTATTATTTTGTGTATCAAATTACGAGTGATATTATATTTTCTTGTTTGGTTTCATTAAATCGCTGAGAGAACATCTACTTAAGTGTGACTTTTATGATAGGCCGTTTATTGCCCTCAGGGTTTACTACTTTGCATTTTCAGTAATTGTGTCTTACGATGATGGAAAAAGCAAGGCTTTTACCACAAGCGTTCATAAAAGATCGCTTCTGCAAATGCATTTTCTGATTCCCAACGATATAAAATGTTGTTTATGTGAAAGTAGACACAAGAGGTCTCGAACTGTCTGGGAGGTAAGTTCTGGAACAAAAAAGGTATAAGTCAGAGTTACCTGAAATTTCTAACATCTTCCGACTATTCAGTGGCGGCATGAAAACACTTTGAGTCTACAGTTTTTTGAATAATAGGCGTATTGCACTTCCTCGTATATTCTTGTCTCAATTTGCTTATTCAGTCAGGAAATGACTGTGCGTATTTTCGCCGTTGACTAAACTCATTCTTGATCCGATTTTCATAAAATTATGTATGAATGTCTCGTGCGTTTCAAGGCCGGTTCAGCTTAACTCTCGAAATTATGAATGGTGACAGATTCCTGGAAAATATATTATCTAGAGCTAGTGATCAAATAATATTGGGTTTTTTCACGTGTTTGGTCAAAATAATAGGTATATTTATGATATCTTCGTGTTAAAGAAAACCCACTTTTCACAAAATCTGGGACTCGGTTATGTAAGTCCCCAGCCGGGCTCCATAAGTACATATTAGGCCCTAAATTTACACATAGAATAGACGTATACAGAATGCTAGTCGGAAAAGCTGAAGGGAAGAAACCACTTCATAGGTCTAGGCGTATATGGTAGGATAATATTGAAACAATTCTTCGTAAAGAAATAGGCTGCTAGAATGTAGACCGAATTTATCTGACTCAGGATAGGACGGGCTCTTGTGAATGTGGTAATGAACATTAATGTTTATAAAATATCGGGTAATTTCTTGGTAGAAGTAACAGAATGTGAAAGAAAATTACGTACTGATGAGCTACATAACAAACAAAGGAAGGAGTTGTAGCGCGCATGTTAACGATCAGAAATTCATACAACATTTAAGGGAGGAAGGAAATCACTTCTTATTATTTGGGCCAGTTTCAAGCCCTTTATAATTAATTTTATAATGGGTTACAAAACGTTTTGATCAGTGTATACAATAAAAGTGTTGATTTATAGAAAGAATTACGAATTTCATTTACCTTTGATTATATTTTAAGAAAGTCATTTTAAGTAGGCCTTGTGACTTATTCTTGCGAGATCCAGTCTGTTTGTAACAAACAACGAAATGTGTGTGATTCCAATACAGAGCACGGAGAGGTTTGATGTTTTTGGGTAGGGATATGTAGATGTGTAGTGGGTCGCGTCACAATCGATACTTGCCCAAAACTCGTATTGGGCCAGAGTGGAAGCAGCACAAGAATTCTTTGAAGCAGCAACAGCTGTTGCTTCCTTTAAAGATAGGTGTGTGATTTGCCACGGTTATTTTACATTTTGATTCCACGTCTTCAGTTTTAGTGCGTGCATGCAGAATACGAATCGACGATTTAGCCTTCTGTAACCTATCGTACTCGATCCTCGAATTCTTATACATTTTTAAGAATATGCCTGAGAGTAAATACACTTAAACCAGTTCAAGATCTAACGCTAAGTGGAACGAAAAAAGAGGGTTCCCTCTTTCACCAGTCCACGTTACATTAAGTTTCTTACGAAAGCGCAACTAACATTACGTGCATTTTATGTTTATCGGAATTTATAACGGAATTAATAAAAATAAAATTGAAATTATTGGTAAATTGCTATGTTTCGACATGGCTTACAGCTTTGCGCTCTTAACTGCTTCGTCCGATTTGGGATCACAACGCATTTTAAACTCGTTATAATTTGTTTTCTTACAGCGACACACCTCTTATGTAACGGAGGTTAGGCCCGGCTATCTTCTCTGCCCGCATAATTCATATAGCACTTGATGGATTTCGACCTAATTTGATATTGGTGGCACACACTGAAGATTGTCGACCAAAATAATTTCTTTTCGTAACGGCACAGTAATCCCAACTTTACAAAAAGCTCACATTGAGCTTTATGTCTATTCTTTGGAAACATTTTTGTTACCGTAAGTAAAATATTATTCTTAAGTCGGTGGGACATACGCCCACTAAGCTATAAAGGATTAATCCGTCTTCGCATCCCATTTATTTAAGATCCAGTTTAATATTACATTTCCATCTATGTCTACGTCTCTAAATTTTGCTGATCAGATGACACTGGTGTTTCGTAGTATTGAAAATGTCGAGACACTTCACGTGAATTTGCGTGCTCGGTACCGGAGTTCTACGGAATATAGTTAACAGTTTTTCAATATTTATCACGAGCCACTCCATAATTAATTCCCATGTGTGTTGCATGCTGAAGGCTGCAGTTTACTTGCGTCAACCCAGCCAATTCTCAGTACACGTTGTATTTCGCTCTTGTTCCACCAGTGCTCCCTTATTTGCTAAATTAAAGGTGGCGGAAACTATTATTTACTCAGCCTTTCGTGTATACACTACGAAACAAAAATTCCAGTTTCCAGTGATGAACGTCACCGTACATAGGCGTAGGAATACTTTTACCCGACTAGAACTACTTTAACTCTCAGAAACACAAAGCTTATCTCAATTAAATATTCAGTACCTACATCACAGAAAACATATCGCGTCTCCATTACAAACATAACTTACGTAATGCTGTTTGTTAGGAAACTGTATTTATTCCGAAAATCATACGAAATCCATTAATACGCTGTGCAAAATGTAAAGTTATTGAATATTAAAGTAGGTGGTACATACAGTTACCATTGTGCTTTATAGAGATAAAATAGGATTTCTGTTTTTAAGCACGTCGGGCAGATTACAGTAGCGATAACTCTGTAGCTATGTATCCTGGAGGTCCCTTGTATATTCGTCTTGACTCGCTAGCGGCCTTATTGTCCGAAGATTAATATTGATCATCTCAATCTCTGCAATCTTATTATTGTGTAGGCTAAGCCTGCCTGATCATCATTAATGATTATTTGTCTGTCACATTTTTCCACGAGGTAAATATCACATGTTGTTGACGAGGAAACCTAAGAAGAAGAAAAACTGCAAAGTATTTTAACTTTAATATTGTTTGACGTTTTCGAGTTTCTGTTTTTAAATATTTTTCCATCGTATGAATTCGTGAAAATTTATACTACTATCCATTTTTTTAAATAGCACATGTTGTAGAATCACATCGTTTGTCTTGTTGCGTTGTGTCACCAAAGCATGCAAATACGATGTTTGTACGCATTTCATAAATATGGGATTGTTGTCTGGGATAAGCTCGTAAAATATGATAATTTGAAATTGTATGTGGACAACAGTAGTCTGACAGAGCAAACACACGTACTAAATAAAGTTTATAAAGCCATAATTGCTGTATACATAATTATTCGTGTGTAGAACGAATCATCCTTTAAATTAAGACAACACAGGTTGTTGTAACTGAATTTACATATGTATTGAGTTACTTAATGTATTAATGTCACGGCCATTCTCAAAAATAATTTAAACCCAATTTAACGTAAATATATGTCAATACAGTACTCACAGTCGAGAAATAGAATTCTACTAAATGTTACTGGTAGTAAGTGCATGGTGCTGAATCGTCATGTCGATTGTGTGTCTATTGTTTATTTAACGACGCCGTTAGATCAGAATATATAGTCTCGTATGAAAGGGCAGTTAATGAGTCTTGAGTTGGAAAAAGGCGGAAGGAAGCGGTGGTGGCCTAATTCAGGAGAGTAGCCGAATGTTCCTTGAGGGAGTGAGGAAAACCACGAAGAACCTCAGTCGGGATAGCCGAGATTTAAGTACCAAGTAGGAATGAGAATCAATGGGCTTTCGGTTCTGCAGGTGGGTTATGTGAAGGATGATTGTAGTCGCTGCATTGTGCTGAACTGTCAGGAGGGGTACGTGAACCGTGATAATAGGCAGTGTATGTGGCTGAATTGTCGAATGAGGAACGTTGAAGGTATGGAACGGGTTTTTGCAACAAGTGTTCCTCTCTCGATCTTGGGCACACTGCCAACGGCGTCTGTGTGTTGTTGGTGTTCGACCGAACTTTTATAAACTGCTATGTTCCAGAATGTTCCTTTCTCTTTGCACTCGATTATATGGGAATCTCCCGGAAACAACGGATAGGCGATCGTCGTCAGAACATAAGGACTTCCCTCGACTATTTGGACTCTAACCAAGTTAACCTACTTTC